GTTTTGCGCCCGGCAAACTCGTGCGATGTGTCCCCGGCGCCCACACCTATGGCACGCTGCGTCTTTAAATCGGCAAACTGCTCTTTGGTGACTTCCCCCGCAACTCAGGCATTCCCCTTGCGCTTGCCTAGCCTGCCTCGTGGGGCGCTGGCCGTCCTTAATCCGATCCACATCATTAGCCAGCCCAGGGTAATCGTCGTCACTGAACTCCATCTCATTAGCATGCACCTGCTCTGCAATATTTTTACTCGGAAACTGGCCTCGGGGCAAATCAGCCAGTGACAGATTGGCTAATTCTGCTGCACACGCTTCATCAAGAGCTTCCTGAAATGACAGCTCAGGCTTTGCAATCAGGTGCCTCTTGAGATTTTCATCCCTCACGCCGCTTACCAGTCTGTCTAACAGATAATCATCCAGATTTACAAATTGGCAATGTCTAGCTGCTTTCCGTAGTGCTGCTACATATTGGCTAATTGACTCGCCGTCAGCTTGGTCTCTGTGATAGAAATGCTGACGGCGAGCGATTCGGGATGGTGCGGGGGCATAATGATTTTTTAACTTTGACATAAACTCCTCCCAAGTCCCGGCATGCACAGACTGCGGCGCCATGAGAGTCATCGCCGTCTCGAACATCTCCGGGCCGCAGAAAGTCAGGAAGTACGCCCGTTTGCGTTCGCTGGACAACTCACGGTAGTCGTTGGCGATTAAATAACAATCAAACCGGGCTACAAACGCCTCCCAGGACTCCTTCGCCGAATTGAAAGGAGCAAAACTCTGCGCCGCCGCCATTTCCTCCTCCCGTTCTCCTGCTCGCCCAACTCTTCCGATGTGTGAGGGATTCCAACGCCACGGAAAACCCCTTAACTCTTCTCCCAGGGGTCCGCTCGCAATCCCATCCTCGTCGCCACTATTTCATTCTACTTTACACACTGACAGGATCGGCAGGGCGGCTATATTTGTAACAGCTTTATTACGAACTCAATTACAACCGAATCAACATCCCGCGCTTGACAGCCCTTTATATGTAACCCACTGTCAGTGAACAACCAATCAGACGCCACCCCCTGAATCCACCAATCAGAACACCCAGCAACCCAACTTGATATGTAACACACTCTCTCATCCCAACCCACCTAGCAGAGATGTTGGTGTGAGGAAAATTAGAGGAGGAAGGAATATTAGGTATGTTCGCTGCCTTGAGTTATTTATATAAAAGAAAGTAGTAAAGACAAGATACAAATAAATAAGTCCCCCTTGGCAAGATGGGTGCCACACAAATTTGATAAATAATAAAATAAATAAATCTGCATGGTTTAAGGCTCTTATTCTGCTTCTTAATACTGCCCCCACCCCACCCTACAGAAGGACAGTGGGAGGGCGTTTAAAGCAGGGATACATGTTCTAAATAAAGTTTATTAAAAGGATGGTGAAAATCAAAGCAGAAGGTGACAAAAGGCAAGAGTTCTCACCAAAATGAAAAGACTACTTATATACGCTTTGCAGAGTTATGTTGCTGTCAAGAAAAGGTAATTGTGGAATGATATAAAGAGTTCACATGAAGCTGCCCTTAGAACTATAGCTAATATTGTTATTTTTAATTTAGGAATCTAATGCCATGGGACAGCTAAGTTCCAGATATGTGCTCAAAATTTTCTTTGAAATTCCCTTCTTGGCTAGTAGGATAGCATGGGGAAAAAAACAAGTCTTAAGCAAGTGAGCGGGTGAATCACAAACTTGGTTGTTTTACCTGTATACCAAAGATATTTTATCACTTCTTCTTTACCACAACCAAGAAACTCTCTTGCAGGAATTTTATATGTACACTCCCTTGTTGCCAGTTTGCATGGGAAAATAGTTTTTATAACACCCAGGAGTGCCTACAGATGTAGCTTCCATAATCAGGTTCAAACCCATGTAGACATTGTATATCAAATCAGTGAAATGGGATTCATATGTTATCTGATTTGATACAGCAATGAGGCAATAAAACATCATTGGGAATTCCCTCTTTCTGTTAACCATAGCAGAAGGAAGAAAAGTAGATATTTCCCTGCAGCTACTCCAAATCATAGAGGAGCTTCTTTCGCCAACCCCATCCCAGAATAAAAAGTACAATAGGACATGTTGGGGTATATGGATTTGCCCAAATGGCTCCATTCATTTTCACAGTATGGTTTGTAGACTAGAAACAGAAGTTACAAAAGGCACAAAATTGGGCCAATTTAAAGCTATCTTTCTTTTTACCCACCCTGCTTTCCCTGCCTTCCTTAAATGAAATTCTTCATTATCTATAAAGAGCATTTCTGGCTTCATGTCTCCTTATTTTGCCTGACTTACAAGATTAGGAGTCTGTGGCTGGCAAGAGTATCTGCACCACTTAAACCACCCTTCATGAGGCCCAGGCTGTTCTCCTTCCCATTCATCAATCAGTTAAATACCTTTATTCAGTTCTCACTTTATGTCTCACCTATCTTTCTCTAAACTCAAAATTAGTACACGAGGGGTATCCTCTCATTTTATAGTCCAAGAAAAAACTTGTGACATAGGTCTAGCTCAGCTGCAGACCATCCCATTGTCACCCATTGATGTCCATGAGCAAGTAGAAAAGTGAACTTATATCTTCTTGGTCTTACCCAAACATCTTTTTCCAATTAATGGCCAATTTGTAATGTTTACTTTATTAATTGTCCTACAGTTGTTACCATCATAGTCTTCCCCCCCACACACTTAGTATTCCTACCGTCTGGACTACTGTAATGCTCTCTACATGGGGCTCCCCTTGAAGAGCGCTCGGAGGCTCCAACTGGTCCAGAATGCGGCCGCGCGGGTGGTTATGGGGGCGACTCAGCGCACCCACGTAACACCCCTCTTGCAAGAGCTGCACTGGCTCCCGGTGGTCTTCCGAGTGTGATTCAAGGTGTTGGTCACCACCTTTAAAGTGCTCCATGGCTTAGGACCAGGGTATATACGAGACCGCCTGCTGCCAGCAACAGCCTCCCACCGGCCAATATGCTCCCACAGAGAGAGGTCCTCAGGGTGCCATCGGCCAGACAATGCTGACTGGCGACACCCGGGGGAGAGCCTTCTCTGTGGGGGCACCAGCCCTCTGGAATGAGCTGCCCCTTGAGATTCGTCTCATCCCCAACTTGCGTATCTTTTGCTGCGCCTTGAAGACCCTCTTGTTCCAACAAGCCGGCCTGGCCTAATACGAATTTTAGAATGGGTGTATGTGTGTTTTAATCTATGGGCCAAATTTTTATATATTCAATTTTAAATTCTTTTAAATTTTGTACATTTATATGTTTATATAAACATTTATATGTTTATATTAAAATATGGCTGTACACCGCCCTGAGTCCTTTGGGAGAAAGGCGGTATAGAAATCTAATAAATGCTAAATGCTAATGCTAATACTTCATTTTACTTTGTGTCTCATTGCTGCCCAGTTCTCTTGTCTTCTGTCTCATAATAATTCTGAAATTATTATGATTTCATAATAATGAAACCTTTGAAATTATGTGAGCTCATGTACATTACATAAGGCATTATCTACATTTGTAATCTCTGAACTGAGCTATGCTCTTTCCATTCCTATTTTCATCAACTTTCCGAACGTCTTGCTGCAGCTGGAAGGCCATTCAACATGCCCTTGAAATATGAATTCATAGAATATGAATACAAGAGATTTCCATAGAAGAAAGTTGCCCTCCATGCCTGAAGATTGCCCTTCCCCTCTCTTTTTGCATACTGAATCATAAAAATTGGGAAAAGGTGCAACACATTTTGGATTCAGGCTGTTTTGCCATTTTGAGCATCTCACACATAACACAAAAGTTCTGTGTTCGGGGAGCTTTATTGTGAGATCACAACAAAAGTTGTTGTTTTACTTCAGGTGCAGAAGAAAACCATTCTGAACAGCAGTGTTTTGAGAGTTAAGGTTCTAAAAACCCTAAGCCTTTCTATCTTAAAACTTTTTTTCTCTTTTCAAAATGGACTGTTTCAAGTGGGAAAGTTTGATTTAAAGTCTGGAACAAAATATTCAATTTGTTTTTAAAAATATCCTTTGATGGAGCAACCTGATGTAGACTATTAAAATATAGTTTTTAAATGGACTTCTTTTGTTCCAAGCTCAAAGCAAAACACACTTCCTATTTGGAGCATTCCCCTGTGAGAAACCAAGTTTGGTTGCAAGTGCTATGATGTCAGAATTATAGGAGCTGCTAAAACTAAAAATGATTTACAGCAAGATACTATACCACTTATCATATTCAGCTTCATAAAAAAATAATTAACAAGTTTTCAAAATTATGCAAGGAAATTTTCAAACAAAATTCAAACACAAAATTAGAGGAAAATATGTAGACACTAACCAAATTCCCAATCTATATTTAATCTGGTGTGCTCTATTTGTTTTGGATCTCATATTTCTTGAAATTTGAGGCCCAGTTCACATGTCATTGCAGTCAACAAACTCTCTGGACAACTGCAGCCCTGTCTTTTAGATTGACCTCCTAAGGTATTGTGAAATTAAAAGTATGTAACATAACTGAACACTATTTTAAATTCCTAGTGGAAGTGCCTTTTTATTTTACTTGTGTTTTAATCCAGGAGCTAAGCATAGCACACACATACAATGGAGTTACTTCCTATTTATGCTTGATCTCTTGCTCTTTTGATAAGATAACTAGAGAAAACTTCTTGTTAAGTGAAAATAATATAACAAATAACAATTTTCTATATTTTCAGTTGCACGTATAGCATTCAAAGAACTTGAGCTACTCTAAGGACTATTGTGTGTGGTAACTTAACTTAAAAAGAACTATTATGTATGGTAACTTAACTGTAAAGTAGATTGCAGGTCTGTATTTAGGCTCTTTTTTAAAAAATATGCCTACAAAAGGATTTTTTAAAAAAACTAATAAAGAATCAGTCCTCTCTTAAAGACTCAAAACAGGACAAACAAGAAACGTTACTTTTCCTTTCATAAAACTGTGTTTCAGGTAAGCAGTGTGAAGTGGATATAGATGAGTGTGCCTCAGCACCTTGCCTCAACAATGGAACCTGTGTTGATCACATCAACTATTACAACTGTCATTGCCAACGTGGTTTTACTGGCATAAAATGTGAAACAAATACTGATGAATGTTCCTCAACACCTTGTCTTCATGGAAGGTGATTCTTGGTATTATTATTTTTTTACTTTTATTACCCTGTTGTTGTTGTTTTAAAAAAAGGGCTAGCAATGTTTAAAATGTAATGTCTGGAAAGGTTGTTGCAGATATTTCAAATTATATTATTCCATAAAATCAAAGCATAGGCACAGCTAATGGATAACAGGTGTTGCCAGTTTAAGCTAGTGCAATATGGTGGTACATTATCTCATTTCTTCTTTCATTTGAATGTAATGACACACAGTAATTTTCAATAAATGATTGAAATTAGATGTTAATATACTTAACGTTGGCTTCCCATACTCTTTGCATTCTGGCAGATTGAAACATGTTTTGGTTTGTTTGTTTGTTTATTTGTTTTGGGAAGTAGAGGCCAATATATATGGTGTGAAAATACTACAGGAAGGGTTTTCAACATAAACTTGTTGAAATCAGAAATCAGAAACATATCAGAATTAATCTCAGGTGTTATAGGCATAGCAAAATAATATGCTTGGTATTTCGTCTCAAACACAAAAATTACTTTGGGTCGTATATAAAACAGTACTTTCTTTTTCAGATGCATTGATCTCATAGATGGATATCGATGCAGCTGTGTTCCTGGGTGGACCAGCTCAAGATGTGAACTTAATGTTAATGTAAGTATTCTCTTTAAGACAGAGGACTGTCAAACATATGAGATTTAGTCAAACCCATACATTTTGGGATAAAGGTGATATATTCTGGAACTCAAACTGTATGGCATTTAAAGGTATAATTTGGAGTTGTTTTCTTTAAATAAGCATAAGGAAACTTTGCATGAACTACAAGACTACTACTTCTTATCTAACACTGTGGTCCAGAACTCACTAGTTTGCACCTTTGAGTAAAATAATAAATATAAAGTTTGCTGCTCTTGAACTACAAGAAAGTTCATAGGAGCTGGCAGTCTCTAAAATTTCCATGTTCCAGAACAGTCTGGTCAAATTCAGCAATCTTTATTCTCCTGAAGCCCCCTCCACCTCTTCTGATATTGTTCCAGAAGATCCCTGAAATCTATGAAGAACTAGAAGAGCCTTTGGGCTAGAAAGATACATCTTTCTCATCATTCCATTTGTAGAAATCTCCGCTGGACTTGAAGATCCAGTGGTCTTTTCTTTGGGTGACAAATTCTTTTTTATGGAAGGATGGAGCACAGCATACTATAATCTAGTGGACAATGAGAAAAATGCTCTAGACATTGTTGAATAAAGTGGCTCAGAGTTGGACAGATTGGATTATTCAGATCAAGGTGATGAAGGTCTGGTTTGGCTCAGTTCACTGAGAATGCTTAATTCTGTCTGTCATGAGAAAATGGGCAGAATCTTTGGCATTGTTTCTCTGACCACCTGTTTGTTAGATCCATATCCCTTCTGGCTAGGAAAGACCACCTGGGACATAATATGTGGAATCAGAAGTGCTGCTTTTTTTATTGCAGTGCCTGCTCTCTGGAGAGCATCCCTCTGGAGATAGGAATGGCTTTGACCTGTTAGCCTTCCATAAATTTTTAAAAACCTGGATATTCCCCAGGCCTATGGACTGGGAGATTAAGCAGTTTCTCCTGGTTAAATGGATATTACTTTCTTTTTTATAAATTGAATTGGTTGATCATTTATTAGCTGTATTGTTGATTTATTTTTGTTGGTTTTAATATAACCGATCTGTTCTGACCTAGGCTACTTTAAAAAGCAGGAAGCAGAGTCTTGATCCTGGCAAAACCTCTTTTATTTACATGACTGTGAATTACTTTCATTCACAGTCATCAAGGCTTGTCCAAACAGTTTTTCAAAGGAATATTTATCAACACACCTTATCTCGCTTGGCAAGCTGCCATGTAACTTGTGTCCAAATGCAGGGTGCAGGGTGTTGTATACTAAATAGGAGTGGAGCATAGGCTCCACTCAGGTCCGCCAAACCGGTGGGAAAATACTTAAAGCTCATTGGCCAAGCCACCTGACAGCTCCCTATAAAAGGGCAAGCTGTCAGACGAGCTGGCTGCTGCGTTACTGATCTTCTAATAAAGAGCTGCTGTTACTGTGAGAGCTGTGTCCTGTCTCTTCTATCGCCTGATCCAACACAGTGTAAGACAATACTTGGCACAGAGCCTCTTAGAGTCACAAACAGAACTTTCCACTCTTGAAATGACTGAACGAATGAATTGTTTCTTGCAAAAGCCCCCTCCCCGTTCTCTCCTCTTTTGTTTCCTATGGGAGGGGCCAGTCATCTCCAAGGTGTGGCTTTACTCCCAAATTGACCCTGCTTTCTTAGTTGTTCTTGTCTTCTGGCAGCTCTGCGCATGCGCACACTGGGAATGGGCTCCAGCTGTTCCTCTGCCTCACTGCTGTCTAGCTCCCTCTCAGCCTCCGACGCAGAGCCCTCGTCCGAGCTTTCTCCAGCCCCCAGGACTGGCCCATGTTCCTCCCCAACCTCCTCACTGTCCAACTCTGCTGGCCACCGGCAGGCCACAACACCATTCAGAGTCATTGCCATTGGTTGAAAATGCAGTGGCATGAGCCTTTATGGGCAGGTCTTGTTATATTCATATAACATCTCTGTTCTGCAAATTGTACTGGTTACCGCTAAGCTTCTGGGTGCAACTCGAATGGCAGTTATTATTTATAAAATTCTACATGGCATAGGGCCTACTTACCTGAGGGACCACCTCTCATGATTTCTGTCCATTCTGTACAAGCAAGACAGAACAGTCATGTTCTGGGTTCCATTGACTAAACAGTGTAACTGAACAGGACCTGACCAGTATCCACCTGAGAAATTCAAAATGATGCTATCCTGCATGCCTTTAAGCATGTCTTGAAAACCTGGCTTTTGGGGTTGGGGTAAATGGCTGCCAGACCCTTTTATCATGGGCATTATAAAAGGGAGATTTTTTTTTTATTACTGTTCCTTGTTGATGACTATTATTATTTTCTGATTTTGTGAGTTTCCTCTTTTTTTTTTCTTTTTTTTAAATTTGTAAGATGCCCAGAATAGATCTGGTGTCAGAGGGCTCTAGAAATGACGCAGACAGAAAGACAGAGGCATGCATGCCTGCATAAAAGCATGCAAACAAAAAAGTTACAGTGCAGACAATCCATTGTTTAAAATAAAAGTATCTGTATCTAATAAAATTTCTGTTTTGTAGATATTAGCCAGCTAGCCTCATTCTCAGATAGTTTCAGTGTTTTTATTAAAACTTTAATTGATTATATATGTAATACACTTGCTCTAGAAAGGATTTCATATTAGAAGTTTTGTTCTATAAGATACCTCAATAGTACAAGAGCAGTTAAACAATTATTTACTATCTCCAGTTAGCATTCTAGGATAATTCATACTTTTTGCCTTGTGAAGTTCTATTTCTTTTGATTTTAGTAGCTCATCTTATCAATTCATTAAGAATTTGAGTTCCGTTAATGCATGATCTTGTGCATGTGGCAACTTCAGCACGTAAAAGGCTCTGAAAGGGAAGCTTAAAAAAACACACCATTACCCTTATGGTCAGTTCCATTGCTATATAAGCAGGCAACCAATATTCAGTGCTAACTATAAAGTGTCAGCTTCAAATGTCCTTCGTCTCAGAAGGTCAGGATATACAGCTCCTCTGCTCAATATTAAAAGCCAGGATAATGCACAGGAAATTTAACTGTGACAAAAGGTTTACAATATTGTTTCACTGGAAAGGGGAATGAACATAGAAAATAATTTATATTTCTTAGTTCTTGCATTCTAAACTGTCTTTGGAGTGCATTGGGATGATAGATCCAAAAGAGCCTGCTTTTGGAAGTTCACTAAAGTGTCTCAAACCAGGCATGCGGTGGCTCAGTAGCTAAAACGCTGAGCTTGTCAATCAAAAGGTCAGCAGTTCAGCGGTTCAAATCCCTAGTGCCGCATAATGGGGTGAGCTCCCATTACTTGTCCCAGCTTTTGCCAACCTAGCAGTTCGAAAGCACATAAAAAATGCAAGTAGAAAAATAGGGACCACTTTGGTGGGAAGGTAACAGCGTTCTGTGCATCTTTGGCATTTAGTCATGCCGGTCACATAACCACGGAGACGTTTTCGGACAGCGCTGGTTCTTCGGCTTTGAAATGGAGATGAGCACCACCCCCTAGAGTCAGGAACGACTAGCACATATGTGCGAGGGGAACTTTACCTTTACTAAAGTGTCTCAAAAGGCACTTTTCTGACAACCTTTTTGAGATCTGAAATCAAAGACATCTACTTTTTTCAAAAAAAATCACCACCATGACAGTATGTATGATGTGTGATGCGTGCCTGTATCTGTGTTGTATGAGTATTCATTATAGTAAATGTATGTATAGCAACTGCATCTCTCACTCCACTTTGCCTCAGAATAGTGCTAGGTACGGTAGTGGGTGCAAAATACTGGCCAAGTTTCCAACATAATGTCTGGCTTACCATTTCTAGTTCTGCTAATGTTTTTTTATTTTTATTTTTATTTTAATTTGATTTATATGCCACCCTTCTCCAGAGACTCAGGGCGGCTTACAATGAGTTAAGCAATAGCCTTCATCCTTTTGTATATTTATACAAAGTCAGCTTATTGCCCCCACAAACTGGGTCCTCATTTAACCTACCTTAGAAAGGATGGAAGGCTGAGTCAACCTTGAGCCTGGTAAGATTCGAACCTGCAGAAATTGCAGGCAGCTGTGTTAATAACAGGGTGCATTAAACCACTGTACTACCAAGGATCCTTGGTAGCCTCCCTTCCCAAGAAACTGTTGGACAATTTTTCTTCCCTTTGAAAGAGTCCCTGGGACCACACCATGGTTTATTTTCTGATTTTTTCCTGGATTTATATCTTGACTCAGTACAATCCCATTCAGATAATAGATGGGTTCATACAGTGAATTAAGCCATTATGTGGGGTTCTGGATTTTGACATTACGGAGTGAAAACCCAGCTAAAGTGACTAGGTAAAATCATATTTCTACATTAAAAATGGTTCTTAATCTTGCTAACTGCTCTATGTTCTTTTTTCATTTTGTGCTTTCTAGTGTATTGTTTATGGGTGTGCGTGCTTTAAATTTTCATTGTAATTAGTTTATTCTTTGCTGCCAACCGTTCTGGGATTATATCTTCAGAGAGGAATAAAAATGCATAATACATAATAAATATGTACACTGGTCCTGTGGGTCTAATCCTTCACATCTATGTTTGGTTAGGGAGGAGCCAGAAATGCTAAAGGACTTCACTTTTCCCCATTCACCCCTGGAATGAGAGTCTTCTACCCAAACTCTCAGCTTTGTTCTTCTTCAGAAATGTGTCCCATTGTAATTACTTCAGTTAACGTTTGTGATTTTTCTTCGGGGAATCTGACTTATTGGATTTCCCTTTCTCATTTGTTCCAAAAGAGGCATTACATTTTCTGCAGAGCTTGTAACTTAATCCATTAAGGAACAGATGCTGATTCCTTCTGTTCTATTAGCACAACTATCTTAATGTGTATATTTCCTCAGAAACTAAATATAGGAAACGTGGGAAAAGATGCCTTTTCAAAAGCAAAAAGTTTTTACACGTATGTATGTATGTATGTATGTATGTATGTATGTATGTATGTAAATAATTAGTGTTTTTCAAACTTGGTAATTTAAAGTGTAT